ATTTTTTTAATGGGCTTTTTCCCCTTGTTTTTTGGTTTTTGGGGTTTTTTAATGGTTTTATTTCATGGTTTCCTTTGCTGTGCTTTGATCTTGCAGCACTGGGATGTTTTCAAGTACGTGACTGAGGTGTTCATCCTGGTCCCTGCTCTGCTGGGGCTGAAGGGGAAYCTGGAGATGACGCTGGCATCGCGCCTGTCCACGGCTGTGAGCACCCAGGGGGCTGGGGAGGGGATGGACCCCGGGCTGGGCGGGGTTTGGGGGTGGGGGATGGCTGGTGGGTGAAATTTGGGGTGCTGGTGACACCAGGGACAGGCTGGGAAGGAATTTCCATCCCAGGAGTTCCTATCCCGGGAAGGAGTTCCCGTCCCTGCCAGGATAAAGCCCAGTTTTGGTGYCAGGGCTGCCAGGGACAGAGGCTGAACTTTGTTCACCCCTCTGCTCTGGGATACAAATCCCTTTGTTTTATCCCTCTCCACTGCTGGGATCATGTCAGGATCCCTCCCTGCTGCCCCAGACACCGACACCTTCTCCCTGCTGGCCTTGGGCTGCTCAGTGGGGTTTTAGGGACAAAGGCAGCACCTCTGTGTCCCCTCCTGGGGTGGCAGGAGCAGCTTTTGGGGTGGGTTTGGYAGAGGAGCRAGSCTGAGGAAAGTCAGGAATGGGAAAYTTTGCCCACYCTGCCCTGGTGGCTGCAGGAGGGACACGGGGACACCCAGCATCCTGTCCTGGTGCCACCTCCTGGCCCTGTTCTGGCCTCAGCCAGGCTTTGGCCTCTGCATCCCCTCCCTGTGCTCTGCCACCTCAAAATCACAGAATCACRGRGTGGCTGAGGCTGCCAAACCCCTCCAGGGTCACCCAGGAGCCTCCCCGTGCCTGTGGGACAGGAGGGTCTCACTCCTGGCTGTGGTGTGATGTTTGTAATGTTTCAGAAAAAGGATATTATGGAAAAAATGAAAAACTTGATCAGAAATTGGAGCTGAACATGGGAGGCCGAGAGTCCCATGGAGGTGTTAAAACATCCCTCTGCCCGGCGTTCTGGGGTGCAGCCCCAGCTCTCCCCCCTGCCATGTCTCAAATTTGGAATTTCTCATTAGTGCTGCTTTARGGCACCTCAGAAATGCCATTCTCAATTAGGAGGCAGAACTCCCCCCTTGGTTAAGGGATTAAAATCCCGTTGCCAGTGGCTACAGCCAGGTCAGGTTAATCCCAGCCTAATTGCCCTAGGGCTGGAATTTTAAGGTCAGGCTTCATATGGAGCTCAAATTCCTGTGCTGGATGTGCCTCTCCAATCAACTTTTTGTCGGATTTTTTAGYTGAGCAGAGGTTTTTTTTGGTTTTGCCCCATTCCTTCTTTCTCCCTACCCAGAATGATTTACCCCAGGGATGGGGGCACCTCAGTAGAACGAGAAGGGGAATTCACTGCTCACTGATTTCTCATTTTCCTCTTTCCCTTCCCACCTGAGAGGAGGAAATCGCTGCTGTGCTGTTGTTGCACGGGTTTGGTGCATTCTCAGTGCATTTCCCGCTCCAGGGTTTGAGCCCCTCCCTCATTTCCTAAATTCATCACCCTCTAACGATGCAGTTTGGATATAAATTTATCCATTTATCCTCCCCGTGAAAGCCGGGGAGGTTGGAGGGAGCAGCAGAGCTGTGATTCCGCCGGGTTTTTTCGGATTGCACGCCAGGAATTAACACAATTAACGCAATTTAACGCAACTTCCACCTCCTGCCCATCCTGATGAGCATTTCCCAGTGCCAGGTGACCCCTGTGCCACAACTTCCCGCTCCTCTCTGTGTCCCAGCCTTGTTTGCTCAGCTTTTATCGGGAACAGCAGGGTTTGGTGCCAGGAATGTCATCCACACTAGGAGCAGGGACACGGAGCTGACCCCAGGCTCTGTGCCCCGTCCCCGCTGACCTGAGGGGCAGCCTGACCCAGCTGGGCCCTGGCCAGGGGTGCCTGGGGCAGCAGGAGGATGAATCCTGTGAGAATTGTGCTGTGGGGCTGCGGGGGGAACGGAGACATCTCTGCTTTTGCCACGTTCCCATCAGATCCACACCCATTCCCCTTTTCTGCTGAGTTCACCTGTCAGAGCTGAGGCGTGGGGGCAGTGTCCTCTCCT